AGCAAAGTATTCGAGAAAGTCTCTTGATATCCATATTAATAAAATGCTAAAATATGGCCTGTATGATGCAAAATAGATTCATAATTGGCTGAATGACCACATCCAGAGAGTATTCATAATGGCTTTCTAACAGTTTGAAGAACAGTATGGAGTGGAGTGCCACAGGGTTTTGTCTATTCCTTGCACTATTCAACATTTCCATTAGTGACCCGATAAAAGGAAGAAAACCATGCAAAAAATCAAAAATATGTAGACAACCTTGAACAGCGGGATGAAATAAGATGAAACTTAGCAGAAAGAAATGTAATGTCTGTTTATTGGGAGAAAAATGAAAGAAACATTTACAGGACAGGGGAAATCTGCTTGGGCAGTAAAGTATGTGAAAATAATCTGATATTTGAGGCCACAAGATGAGCATTAATCAACCGTGTGATGCAGCTGCTGAATAGAGAAATGATATCTTGAGGTGCGTTCACAGGAGCTCAAAGTCCACACCACAGGAAGTAACTGTTCTACACTAACTGCTCTGACCAGACCCCATTGGGAATACCGCATCCAGTTCTGGGCATCATTGTTCAAAAAGGACAGTGACAAAATAGAGTGAGTTCAAAGGGGGGCTACTAAGATAGTGAGGGGTCTGGAATCACACCTTATGAAGAAACGAAGTATCTATTTTGCCCAGAGAAGAGATGACCATGGGGATATGACAGCAGTCTTCAAATATCTGAAGGGTTGTCACACAGTTGTGGATATTCTGTACTGCCCCAGAAAACAGGACCAGAACCAGCAGATTAAAACTACAATGAGAAAGATTCAGGCTACATATCAGGAGGAACTTCCTGACTGTACAAGCTGTCAGTCAGTGAAATGGATTGCTACAAAAGTGGTGAATAGCCCTTTGGCTGGAAGTCTTCAAACACAAGCAGGATAGTAATATCTGTCAGAGATGCTGTAGTGGATATAGCACTGAAAAGAGGATTATATTGCAGAGGTATCACACGCAGTTTAAAACCTTATGAAAAAAATCAGTTCAAGTTATCTAAAAGACATCACATGGGTATGCCCAAAATGAACAAATGTTTTGTTCCAAGCTCAGAACAAAACAGCCCTATTCAGAATGCTCCATCAGAACATTTCATATTTCGTGTATCAAGTGTTCAGAAAAAATGAAACTCAAAATATTTTAACTTTTCTACCAAGAGAACAATGGAAATTTGAGATAAGATTCTTACTCCCAAGTTTGTCTTCTAAGGGCTACAAAAGTAGGTAGGCTTATAGTCCATCCTGAATACTACCTATTACCCAACCTATATAAAATTGCCCAAGGGAATGATTAAAAAAATCAAAAATTTCCATAGCGCACAAAGGAAGCAACAAGTAAGCACACTTTCTGTGGCTTTTGCCTGCATTAAAGCTGGTCACAGGACTGAACCTAGCAAAGAAATAACAGCACTGGATTCATTTCAACAGATACATAAGAGCTGCAAAAATATACTTCACTGCATAGTCGCAGAGAACCACAGAGATAACCTAAGAGAAGGAATGCAGCAGTTAGTAGAAGATGAGTTAAACCCAGGCAAGGAAGAAAATATTAGAAAGAAACTTAAATTGACTCTGCCTTAACTCTCTTTGGCATAAGAGGGAGGGAATGAAAAACACTTTCAGGCTTTTAAGATTCTATTACTATAGCCTATATCAATTAAGTAGAGTTTCAGTATTTTGTCTGGAGTCTGTTTCCTGACTTGGCCTACCTTGAAGGGCTGACAATAGTACACATTTGGCAACTTGTCTGCAATGCTTAAGAAACAAAGCAACAACTTTTGTATTTGGCAACTTGAAAGTTTGAAATACAGCAACACTACCTGTAACGCATATGTACTATTTTGCATTTGGCAACCTGCCTGAAAAAGAAAGCATTGTGTGTGTGTGTGTGTGTGTGCATATAATATAATCCATGAATTCTAACTTCACCATAGCAAGAAATGTAACAATAGTTCTAGATTGTGCAACAATACATGAATAGCTAATTCATTCTCATCTCTGTCTTCTATTAACTGGCTCCAACCAATGGCAACAGAAATGGAATCAGTGCCTGCTGTTTCACATCTGCATGGCTTTTTCCACACCCCCTATGTCATACTCAATGGGATTTCATCTAGCTCCTGAAAGCAACTACTCCTGAAAGCTCCTGAAAGATAAATGTCAAGTATTCTGTACATATTTTGCGGATACATAATTGGGTAATATAACTATATAGAACATTACTATCTTGAACTTCTAATCTCTTCAACTATGGAAACATTCAAATTAATTACAGGTCTTCTACACCATTTAAATAGACTCATACATTTTATCAGAAGATGTTAACAACATGAGGATTTTATGGTTAAAGAATAAGATCAGCAGTGGGGAGATCCAAGTTCAATTCCACCCTTAGCTGTAAAAGCTCATTGGGTGACTTTGGTCCAGTCACTCACTCTCAGCCCAATGCACTTCAAAAGGTTGCTGTTGCGGGGAAAAATGGGAAGAGCATTATTTTGTTCAGGAACTCAACTGGGTTCCTGAACAAAAGGCAGAATATCAATCTAAGGCAGAATATCAATCTAACAAGCAAATAAGTAAATAAAAATATCCATTGTTTCTTATAACAGTACACTACAAAGGAATTTTTACTGAAGCCTGAACTTGTAGAATAGTATTTAAAATGTCTTTTCATTTAGGAACATGCTTCACCACTCCTAAAAATCAGTGATGAAATGTTTGTTTTTACAGAAAAATAGGATGACATGTATGCAACCACCTTAGTGAAACATTTATATAACATAACTATGTGGCACTGTACAGACAGCATACATTTGCTTACACAGGGCAGGTACATTTTGTCCATTCAGAAATTCAAGAGTACTTGCTATTTTCCACAAAGAAATGCCATCTGACAAAAAATGTGCAAAAATAATTCTTAGATCCTGAGAATCCCAACTGAAGGTACGCATAAGACCATTTCTGCTTTCTGATCTATAAGCATACTCCATTCCCTCTGAAATCTAGAGACGTCTTATTTTGTGGAATCAGAAGATAAGTGTTAAGATTAATTCTTAGGCCACAGAAAACTGTACTACCTCCAAGAAATTAAGAATGCAAACTGCCAATACAACTAAGGCTAATTTCTGGATAGTCACTATGAGCAAGCCTAAATTTAATTGTGATTTAAAAGAATCATCAATGTTTAGGATCTGGGGTCCCTG